GATAAACAATGAAATACTAGAAAGCTATAGTTTTTTTTTCAATATTTACTATACTAATTTCAGATTTTTATGTTGCGTTAAAAAAATAAATTATCAATTAACAAAATTTTTTCTAATTTTCTAATTACAGTGTCCATTAGTCTGCACACTGAGCTAATGGAGTTTTTTTTCTATAATTTCACACATTTATTTCTTATAATTTAAGCCCAAAGCAGCATTTTTAAATCAAACAGAAAAACTGAGAATTTTTTTTCCCAAAAAAAAAAAAATCACAGTTCTTGTTCTTATGTTAAAATAGCTCAGTAATGTAAACTTAAGCTTCTTTACACTGACAGAAAAGGGAGTTTCACTGGTCTTGCCCAGCTAAAACCAATGTAAAATAAGTTTGACATTCTTCATATAAAATGTAAAGTTTAATTTTCTGGTAAAAAATTACTATTAAAAAAAATAAAGAAAAATACCCTCAGCACTGGAGCCCAAAGCACAATTGAACACACACAGTCTAGTTTTAGGGGCTCCAAATTTATTCACACTTTTCCACCAAATCAGAAAAGCAGTGGTTGTATTTTCTGAAGCCTCGTACAAATACATGTGACCATTTCTGCAGAAGTACCCAGATGATATTTCTCTATCGGGTCACACTCGTACAAATTGAGCAACACAAGTCAAGACAAAACATGCTTCTTTCCTTGTTCAGCACAAAGGAGGTGAACATGGGAACTGATTTAAGAAATGGAGCATTTTCGGTAAATTAGGACAAAGGCCAGCATGTAAAAACATGTGGGGTTTGTCTAGGGGGTGTTTGTCTGCATAGTGGGTGATTTTCTGGCAGCACCTTTGAGTTTTAAAGAGAGAAGTTGTTTTTTGTGGGGGAGTTTTTGTGTGTGTTACTTTAATCAGTTACATTCATTATTAATACACTTTTGATTCTTCATGACTAAAATATCTGCCATTACCTGTGATGATAACAAACTAAAACTGATATTCTCTTGCTCTTTGAAAGCCCACTTATCAAAAAGAAAGAAAGAAGAAATACTGGTTTGTTTTCCAGAATAGCTGACTGACAGATCTTTATGTCACAATTACCGTTAATATTGCATAATACCCAGAACAGATGTCCGTGTTTCTGATGTTGGTGGGACCATATATACGAAAGTTACTTCTTCAGGATTCCTCGTGGTTGAGATTCTCAAATAAATGAATAAGTGAGAAATTAATCCCTACAACTAACTGCAAAGAGATCCTGGTGTTGCTTTTAATACATCATGCTTACAGTGCAGTATTGTGATAACATCATAATAGTGAGTAACGCATCGATTGTACTGTAACATGAAATACTCCT